CCGCTGGGGTGGGCGTGGCCGCTGGGGTGGGCGTGGCCGCTGGCGGAAGCCTGGCCCTCGCTCAGAAGTCGCAATCCCAGAACGCGATTGACCGACCCGGTTTAGGCAGCGCGGGACCTGCTGCCTGCCTTTTCGGGCTGGCCCTGCAAGCCCCGGATCGCTTTTACTGATTTCACTTTGGTTGGGGAAAAAATCCAAACACTTTCATGACACATGAAAATTCTGTGACATGCACATTTCAGGGTTGGTAGGTGAATTTTATTGGAGCACAGCCGCGTTCCTTTTTCTGTCCTGAGCTGTCTGCTACGGCCCCAGCGGAAAGAACTGGTCGATCCCTGATTTACCGGGTCGACGTGAGAGCGGGGTGTGGGTATGCAGCGCCCCGATACGGGGCTCTGGGCGGGGTGCTTTAGCTGAAGGTCCTCAGCTTAGTCCTGCTGCGCTGAGCATCAGCTCTCGGTCCTTGACGACGTCGTCATTTCCCGGCTGGACTAGTTCAGGGGCCCAGGACCTCCCAACGAGGGGCTCAGCCTGGGTGACATGGAGCGGGTGAGGAGCATGGTGGGCACATCTGTAATCCCAGCACTCTGGGAGGCTGAGGCAGGAGGATCACAAGTCTTAGTCCAGCTGGGGCAATTTAGCAAGTTAATAAATCCTGTCTCAAATTAAAACAAAAATCGCCGGGCGTGGTGGAGCACGCCTGTAATCCCAGCACTCGGGAGGCTTAGGCGGGAGGATCGTTTCGAGTTCGAGACCAGCCTGGGCTACAAAGTGAGCTCAAGGCCAGCCTGAACTGCACAGCGAGACCTTGTCTCAAAAAAGACCAAAACAAAACAAAACAAACAAAAACCAAGAAAGCCCAAAAAAACCTTTAAAAAGGGGAGGATGCTGGGGTTGTAGCTCAGTGGGGAGGACCTTGGTTCAATCCACAGTACCAAAAAACAAAACAAAGCAGAACAAGACACCAGAAAGAACAAAACCCCCCAGAGACATGTACCTTCCTCCACCACTCCCAAACCTCCGAGGTCCGCTGTTTCCTCCACACCGGAATCTAATCACTCACTCGCAACACTGCAGGGCCTTGCAGTCATTTAGGGGAGACTTTTCCAGCCAAGCCGCTGCCCTCTGTGGTGCAGAGCCTCCCAGGGCTGCCCGCAGCGCGCACTGTCTCCTTGGATACAGGGACTGTGCCCTCCCCTCACCCTCCAGGGATCTGTCCCTGGAAGCCCCCGCGTGTCTGCCACAGCCCTTGTATATCATCCTGGCTTTGTGGTTCATCTCTCGCGCAGCTCCGGGACGCAGAGAGTTACGCCAGCAGGTTTTGATCAGAGACGTGAACATTCAAGGGATAACCCAGCAGCGACTGGTTTTCTAATGGACAGACGCGGAAATGCCAAGACGGAACTGGCGTGGCGCTGCACGTCGGGAGTAAAATGCTAACGTCTAGCAGAGAGCTTGCCCTCGGAGACAGGAATCAAATAATCAACACACAGACGTGAAATTTCAACTGTAACCAATACCTTAGTGGCAAGAGACTGGTGGCTTTTCCTTTGTAGGTTTTCTTTATTTTTGAAAATTATGTTTTTAATTTTAGTTTAATAGTACGTGTAGGCAGTCCACAAGGTTTACATTCCTGTGGGAAGTTGCTTCGTACATCCTTTGTTCACTTTCAAGCCGCAAAGAGAAGGTACCCAGGTGTGGTAACTCAGGCCTATAAACCCAGCGCTGGGGAGGCTGGGGCAGGAGATCTCTGGGAGTTCCAGGACAGCCTGGGCTACATAGTAGGTTCAGGGCCAGCAAGACGCTGTCTCAAAACACAGAAGAAAAACTGGTGTTCTGAGAGGTAGGGGAAAGAGAGTGCAGGACAAGCAAAGAGCAGGGGCCGGGGGTCCAGTGCGCGCGTCTCGAGGGATGGGCTAAGGCCTCTGGCCTTGGCGTGGCTTTCCAGCCAGGACACTGCCTTCCCGGTGATCTCCGCGCTGCTTGCAGGGAGGGGCCGGAGGGGAGCAGGAGGTGCCCCGAGACTGTTTCATCACTTAGGCAACGGACGATGGGCGCCGAGACCAGACGCGGTAGGGCAGGTAGGGGACATGGCCATGGCGCTGGTATTGGAGCGGGACAGGGGGCGGGAAGCACCCAGGACCCAAGGCTCCCGGTCCAGAAAGGTCCTCCACTGTCCCACCCATCCGTGCAGCCGCAGCTGGACGCTGTGCCGGAAGCAGGTGTCCCGCCGTCTGCAGTGCGCTCCGCGCCGCACGTGGCTGTACGCAAGGACCGATGGCGCATGCGCTGTGAAGACGGTGCCCGCGCGGAGCCCCCTCTTCCAGGGGTGTGGGTTCTGCCCCAAGTTTCCCGTCCACTGGGCATGAAAAGTAAGGTTCTGAGGTAGCTCTTCCTTGAGACAGCATTTGGCAAGCTGGAAAGGACAGGATCAAGCTGGGCGTGACGGTGTTACTGGGTTCCAGGGTGCTGGGGACCCTTCTAGAGATTCCAGGTTCTCTTTGTCCTGCACAAAGAATTGGACAAAATCAGCGCGAAAGGTAATGAGGGTTTACATTTCCTGAGGGAAGGGAAAGACGCATGCTTTGCAGAGCGAGTGTGGGCACTCTATAGGGTGAGCCCAGCCCCCACCCTGAAGCCCGCCAGTGGTTACAGGTTAACGCTGCCATCTTTGTATCTCCCACCCCTCAGGATGACGTCAGGTCCAGGCCAGCCTATCAGAGACCTGCTCGAGTTCTTGCCAGAGGAGTTGAAGCTCGCACTCTTGGGTTCCCGGCACAGGCCTTGGACCATGTCTCTGGATCTCTGTGATTGACAGGTCACACCCCTCGCCCAGACAGCTGGCCAAACCCTAATCTCCAGCCTCAGGCATTCTTGTCATGCCAGATACTCTGGAGGCTGAGGCAGGAGAATTGACAGTTCGTAGCCAGCCTGTGTACCACATAGCAAGACCTCAACTGAAAATAAATCCTGTAAGCATAAAGGCTGAGGGGAGCTCAGGCTGTGCCTCCGGGGTACAGTGCTTGCCTAGCAGGTGTGAGGACCTGCAGCCCACCCCCAGCACTGAAGAGAAGATGAAAGACAAGATTGAAGGATCCCGCTGGAGCTGAAGTAGTCCTCCAGGTGACGTAACCCAAGCCTCCGAAGTCCAGAACGGCAGTTCCAGGGAGCGCGATCCCCACCCGCAGCGTGCACGCTGTGTCAGCTTTCTGTCGCCAC